CAAGGTCCACTTATGAGTGAGAATATGTGGTGTTTTCTTTGTGAATATTTCTCATTTCTTAATGTAAAGCACTGGCAGGAGAAAGAAAATGTGTCCTCGAGGTATGTTTTGTGACATTCATGTTCATGATTTTTATGCTGGGGCAGCTGGCTTCCCAGATGCCCAGCTCTCCTATTACACACTCACCTTAAATTAGTCTATTCAACAAATTAATTTCTTCTACAACTAAGAAGTGTTCATTTCTAAAATGTTCACACTGAGAGAACCATACCTCTTTCCAAAAAATGGCCTAGAGTTTTAAAAATAGTACCATCTATCTAATAATCACTAAATATACCAAAGAAGTTACCTGTTTAAGTATAATTGATGTCCATTTCACTAACCCTTAACTCTTGCTGACTGGGCTCAGTGGCTCACACATATAAGTAATCTCAGGACTTTGGGAGACTGAAGAGGGAGGATGGCTTGAGACTAGGAGTTCAAGACCAGCATGGGCAACATAGTGAGACCCTGTCTCTACAAAAATTAAAATACTAGCTGAATGTGGTGGTTCAGGCCTCATAATCCCAGATACCCAGGGGACTGAGGTGGGATGATCACTTGAACCCAAAAGTTTGAGGTAATAGTGAGCTACACTCCAGCGTGGGTGACAGAAAAAAAATCCTGTTTCAAAAACAAAAAAGAAAAGAAAAGAAAAAAGAACGGTGACTTTATCAGCATGTGGTTTAGTTAGAATGTTCTTTCACAGTTCATTCTGGATCACTGTTTTCAACTTAAATACTTTAAAGTATACACATAAAGCAACCTTGTTTGACATGTTCCTTTTAAGGCATGCTGCCTTTCCCATTCAAAATTGAAAACTATACACTTAAATTATACTATATTATTGATAAAATGAATTTACACATAAAATGAGTATTACTATAAATTGCTCTTTGATGTCTCTCAGGATGCATGGCTATGTTCTTTGCATCAAAAATCACTGTTTACACACTATTTGTTCTTCCATTTCTGTTTACTACAGTAATTTCCATTTTCATGTGTCAGTACTGTCAGAATACTTATTTTAACTGACAACACTTATTTTATCTCACATTTATGGAGCTCTCGGCCAGGCTCTATGCTAACCACTTTGCATGATCACATTTCATCCTCACAACAATGCTCTGAGCAAGGTGCTCTTGTTATCTTCATTTTTCAGTTTGTGGAACAGAGGGTCAGGGAGGTTATGTCCTT